GAGAAGAAATCGAAAGATTTTTTCAGGAGAATGAGACAGGGGAGGTGTCGGTGGCCACAGTGTGGGAGACCCATAAGGCCTACATAAGAGGTATATTGATTGCGATTGGGGCAAAAAAGAAAAGGGAAAGAAGAGAGAAACTTACTGGGCTGTTAAAAGAAATAAGTGATTTGGAGCAGGTACATAAAAGTAAAAGAACAGAAGAGATAAGACAGAAGGTAGTAAAAAAGAGAGAATAACTGGGGTTACTGTTGGAGGAGGAGAAGAGAAGAGTCTTTAATAAAGTTGCTAGTGAGAGATATAGATGGGCAGATAGACCAGGTAAATATTTAATGAGAGCCTTGAGAAAAAAGAAAATCAGGAATTATATAGAAAAAATAAGAAATCCTAAAGGAGAACTGGTTTATTCTATCAAAGAGATTACTAGGGTGTTCAAAGAATACTATAGTAAGTTGTATAATATTGCCTCCCAAGACCTAGTAAAAACAAGTGGTAAAGAGAGTAGAGAAAAAAGAAGAGTGTATTTTAAAAATGCAAGACTACCGAAGCTGAGTGAGGATCTTTTGAATTCCCTAGATATGGAAATCACGCAGGAAGAAATAAAAAGTGCATTAAAAAGAACCATAAATGGGAAGAGCCCAGGCCCAGATGGTTATACAGTGAGGTACTATAAAAAAAATATGGTGACTTGTTACTACCAAAAATGGAGAAATATATGAATGCCCTGGGAGAGGAGATGGAGATGAGGCGGGAATCTTTGCAGGCCCATGTGGTATTAATCCAAAAGGAGGGGAAGGATGCTTCTCAATGCTCAAGTTATAGACCAATATCACTTTTGAACATCGACACAAAGTTATATGCAAAAGTTCTAGCAAATAGATTAAAAGACCTAATGCCAGATTGGATCCACGCTGATCAGGTGGGATTTGTGCCAGGAAGAGAGGGTAGAGACAACGGTCTGAGAACTCTGTTGCTTATCCAGAAGGCCAGGAAGGGGAAGATGCCGGTAGTGGTGCTTTCGATAGATGCTGAAAAAGCATTTGATAGAGTTAACTGGAGCTTTATGATAGATACTTTGGAGACTTTAGGAGTGGGAGCAAGAATGAGGGAGTGGATAGGAAAGCTGTACAGAGAACCTTCCGCGGTCAATGGGGAGAGGTCAGAAACTATAGGAATGTCAAATGGAACTAGACAAGGATGTCCACTGTCCCCATTGTTGTATGTGCTGTCGCTGGAACCCTTGCTGGCAACAATTAGGAAAAAATATAGATATAACAGGGGTGCAGATAGGAGGGGAAGATCATAAAGTAGCAGCTTTTGCAGATGACCTGTTGTTTTATGTGGGAAATCCGAGGATAACACTTCCCAACTTAATGAAGAGCTTAAAGGAATATGGGGAGTTATCAAACCTGAAAATTAATCCATCAAAAACTGAGATTTTAAACGTTAATCTCCCAACTAGCGAAAAAGAAAAAATACAAAAAGAATTCCCTTTTATATGGAAAAACAGAGAGATAATGTATTTAGGGGTTAAATTATCTGCCTCACTTACGAACTTATATAAGCTAAATTATATCCCACTTTTAAATGAGATTAAGGAGGAACTGAGGAAATTGGGAAGAGGTAACCCATCTTGGATAGGGCGTATAAATCTGATAAAAATGGTAATTGTACCAAAAATGTTATATAAATTTCAGATGGTCCCAGTTAAAATCCCGGAGGTATTCTTCAAAGTAATAAAAAAGATGCTAACAAGATATATATGGAAAAACAAAAAACCTAGATTATCACACTAAACAAGTAGTGAGGCGGAGATATTATAAGGTCATCTAATTATATTAGATCAGGATGGCAATTTTTTCTACTTTATATATGAATCAAGCAGCCAGAGCCCGCGAACCCGGAAGGAAGACCGGGCGAATATGCTAGACCTGTCAGTGCGCCGCTGAAATGCTTTGTTCTAAGGAAAGTCTTTCATAATGCACTAGTAATCGATGCATACTAGCACATTATGAGATTAGGTTGCAAGAAGATTTTTTTTTTCTTCTTTTAAGCTCAAGTTTACTACCACTTTAAAGAGAATGGACAAGGGTTGGAACCTGAGACTCTGATGGGGACAAAGATATCCAAAAAAAAAAATACACACCCCCCTTCACACCATTTCACGGTGACTTCCCCATATATGTACATATGCCATTATAAACCATTATACTTCTTTACATTAATAGTACTATAGTTCAACTTAAATCGGAGTAACAAAACCATTGTCCACTAAAGTGTAGTATTAATGCTGTACACTAAAGTAGCCTAATGATAACAGTGGGTATGCGTGGCACTGCTGCTCGGTTTTCTTTTTTGTACTAGTTTAGTATGAAGCTGAAAGCTTGCCCCTTGTGAGTTGTAGACTGCATGTGATGCACATATAACCTATCAGGTTTGCCCTTTGCTGCTCTCACCAGCACAAATGGTACTTCTCTATTTTTATTTTATGGAGTTTCTAAATGAAGCTATGTCGTAAATGTTGGTATTCAGATTTGCGGTATAAAGGGGCTAAAGAAAACAAATGAGAGGACATTTACAGCTCTGCTGTGGCACAGATCTTCTCATGCACACTGTAAACACAAGATTTTGTATAAATAAAGGCAATATTTTTGCAGGCAGGTTTCTAATTGATAATTGTGTTTAGTAACAAAAGGGTTAATGTTTTGTGTTTCATGGGTTAATGGAGTTGTGGTGGACCTCCCCCTGCATGTATTGCTTACGTTCTTTCGTGGAGTGATAATTACAGGAGGAGGTCGGGCCTCGTGGTCTCTTGGGAGTGAGCCGTTAAGGACCATAGTTGGAGATGTGATTGGTTATGCCAACAACAGGGTAACCCCACAGCGGAACCTTGGCACGGGCCTGAGAACTGGACTTTCTATCTTTTAGCCTTATGGGGTCACCCTTGCACCGGATAGGTTTGAGTACCAAGGGACTTAATTAAGAGAGGAACTATAATGTTCTGCATTATGGATGTTGCATTGTGTTATGACCTATTCTGCTGGAAATGATTAACTCCTTCCTGCTGTCGCCTCCTGGCCCTTTGAGAGGTTCTAAATGCCGGGAGGTGGAGACAGGCATTCCAATCATGTGACTGCTGTGATTGGCAGTCACAGCGGTCACATGATCAGAAAGCTCCCAATCGCAAGTATGCACTTGAAGCTTTCCGGTACCCACTGGTTACTGTCAGAGCTCCGGGTATGACCAGAGGTATGTGAACTGACGCAGGGAAACACAGGCTTCAGATATGTTATAAACAATATAATTTATTAATACTAACAAAACGCAGTGCAATACTAAAACATAACAGTGCAAACGAACCAAACCAAACCACCCACAGATAACAATACATACAATGCAAGCGTAGTCAGGCAGGGCCGGGTCAATAACAATCGGGCAGGTAGGAACAGGAGGAGCAGGCAGAGAGTAGTCAGGTCACGAGCTGGGTACAGCAACTAACGGGCAGGTAGGTACAGGGGGTCAGGCAGAGAATGGTCGGGGTCACAAGCCAGGGATCAAACAGGAGAAGTCAGCAGAGGTCCGGATCAGGCAGGGTCGGCAACAAATCAGTCAGGCAGGAACAGGAATGCAGGTAACAAGATACAGGGGCCCATGGAAAAAACACACACCAAGGCACAGACTGCAGGTCTGGCCATCCCTTAAATCAGTGTTTCTCAACTCCAGTCCTCATGGACCCCCAACAGGTCATGTTTTCAGGATTTCCATTATTTTGCACAGGTGATTTGATCAGTTTCACTGCCTTAGTAATTACCACAGCTGTTTCATCTGAGGGAAATCCTGAAAACATGACCTGTTGGGGGTCCATGAGGACTGGAGTTGAGAAACACTGCCTTAAATACACCTGCAATCAGCCTCAGGTGTTTGGCTGACTGCAGGGTTGAGTCTCTGATTGCTGAGAGCACCCGCTGGCCAGCCCTGGTACTGCAGCCCACAAGGCAGGTGAGTCCCACCATTATTGGCAAGTCCATTCCTGACAGTTACTGTGCTGGGAGTGCTTTACATAGGAACTCATTTATGCCCACTTAGAGGTCGTATATATGCTTACGGCTGGCAGGAACTGGTTAATAACTGTTTGTAAACGATGCTGAATTGATAAGTGAAGAACTTAGTGGTTTAGTGACCATGTCTGGCCTGGTTCATGTACAGAAAAGTGCGAATCCACAGTGAATATCCTTTGGAGGAATAATGTGTACAACTTTGGGAGGGGGGTGAAGTGAGTAAAATAAATGGAAAGAGGAGCAGCCAACTCGGGAGTGGGAATGGTGGTGGCCAAGAGAACGAAGTCCCAAAGATGGGGTGGTTTTGCACTTAATGCACCCTGCTAAGCGGATGAGCTCCTATTTCAGAGCCTGCTGCAGAACAGACCCAGACCTAGAGGCCCTGCCTGGAACCATGAAATGTGAGGTCTCGCAATGTGTGCAGTGGCTCCCTGCTTAGCCTACGGGCAGAAGATGATTAGGAGTTCAGTGAAAATAGCTGGTGGAGAGAGATAGCACTCAACGCTGTCCCTCTCAAACTGACTCTGTAGTCATTGCCAGGAGAAGATTTTACTGGCAGGTGAAAAAAAATGTTATCCTTCTATTTTTGGGGCCCCAATGTTTCTATGTAGCCTCTAGCCATGAGGGGGAGCTACCCACATGCTGAAAATGTAGCATGTTAACTTTTCTACAGATGCCCTCCCGGACTAGATGACTGCGTGGACGCCATCTTTCAGTTATGGCGCAGTCGGGAGGTGGTTAAACATGAAATTATATTTTTGTAATGGCATTATGGTTGTCCAGTTATGCCACCCATATCTTATAGAACATTTTGTATCAAATATTGATGCTGAAAAAAAATTAAAACTCTGAACTTAAATTTTTGTTCCAAGAGCTGTTTTGGTACAGGAAGTACACAACAATGGAAGCCATTTGCCCTGTGTCCACTTCTGCCAGATTTACCTTGTCTCTATCTGTATTGGGATCCTTATAGATTGTCCACCTGAGGCCATCTTCACTGTGCTCTATTTTGTAGGATGAAACATAGTAGTTATACATTGATATTGTGGATCCAGTGGTTATAATACCTGTGGAGAGAAAAGGATCAACATTTTAGCAAAGTTTTAGGAGAGCAAGATCACATATCTGAATTATAAAACTAAGGGAAGAATAAAAATATTAAACCTCAGAACATGACAAACATGAAAATGCGATATAAAAAAACAGTAACTCTGCGACGTTATTCTGACAAGCATTAATGTGTATCTAAAGCCAAAGGATTTTTCTTTTTGGCTTTGAATATAGCAGTGAGGAGTTCAGTCCCCTCAAGTTTTTATAGGTGTCTAGCTAGAGTCACCATCTCTGTCTTGGTGACCATCGTCACAGGGACAGAAGGGGATGGAGAATTCAAAATTTTATTACCAGAACAGGAAGTAGAAAGGAAATCTTCTAATGAGCTCATATGTTCTACTGAAAACTATCTAAGAGGGGATTTCTCTCACTTTGGGGAGATTTTTCTCACTTTCTGTTGTGTCTAACCTATATATTATACATATATACACTACTCAAAAAAATTAAAGAAACCCTTTGAAAACACATCAGACCTCAATGGAGAAAATATCGTGATGTTTAATTGACTTGATGCTATACTCTGATTAAAAAGTGTTCCTTTAATTTTTTTGAGCAGTGTAAAATTTATGCTGTCCATTACGCTTATAAAAGTACTAATATTACAGCTTCCAGTATGTATATGGCTACAGATTTATTACATACAAATGTTAAAAGCTTTTTGTAAGCTAGCCTTCATTGTAGCACAAAATTACAAATGTTTGTAGATTTTTTGCACCCTGCACTCAGACAGTCACGTATATAAAAAACATTTCTCACGGAGAATCGAAAATCTGTCTTCTCAATTCTTGGAAAAGCCCTGACATCAATCCTGGTTTCATACAAACCTGTGACTTTTGTCGGCTTGTTCAGATCAATTTGCAGCCACTGATGCTCATCGGCGAATGATGCAGCCCAAGGCGGTCCAGGTTTTTTCAGCCTTGCTCTGTCAGCCTTCCAGACATTATACTGCCCAGTGTGATCTGTCCACTCCAGAACTGAAGAAGAGCTTATCTGGGATTCTGGAATAGCCCCATATTCCATTCCGAGAGTCCCGTAACAACCTAGACAAAAATAGGAAGTGGGTGAGATTGAAATCAGACACTAAAACACCTGCCTTTGATGAGATACATTCTATTGAATTTATCCTAATCTCCAACACAACTAGACATAGCTCTCAGACATCCTCTCTGACTCTAGGCATCCCAGGAAATAGTAAACCTCAGTTATGTGACCTTTTGGGTTTAGGATCTATCTGGGCAGTTCCATACAACAGAGTTCTCACTACTGGATACTAGAGATGCGCTGATATATCGGCGGCTGAAATTTATTGGTCAAAAATAGCGTTATCAGCATTTTGCCAATAGGAAAAAAGGTGCAGATAACGGCTCCCAAAAAAAACATGTTTGCCACGTTTAGGGTGCGTTTTCATAGGTCATGTGCAAATTAAAAAACCGCAAAACACATCAAAAACATGTAAAGAGTGTGTCAAAAATACACCACATGCGTTTTCTGCAGTGTCTCCATTGAAGTCTATTCAGCCAAACCAAAAACGCAACGTTTTCCGTTTAAAAAAGTCCATAATCCTTTACAAAAATGCAGCTGCTCAAAAAAGCATAGATGTGAACATGTCCCATAGAAAACCATGTTAAATGGACTGTCGTGCGTTTCTGCAGAAAGCACTAAAATAGGCATGAGTGTGAACCAGGCCCTCAATGGGGAGGTGTATTTTTAGTGCTTTTTTTTTTTTTTTTTTTTTGAACAAATATGCACTAAAAATGCGGCAAGAAGGATTTCCAACACCGCAAGGGAAGCGTAATGGACCAGTGTGAAGACATACATTGAATTTAAAGGGATGCATTTTTTTTTAGCTTATCTGAAGCTTTTTTTTTTTTTTTTTACACACAAGCACTTCAAAAACTGCTCAGTGTGAAAGAAGCCTTATTGGCCAATAAGGTGCTGAAAATAAGTTCATATTCATTTAAAATCATGATATTAATTAAAAAGTCAAATAGAATACAATTATATATAAAAAATGATTTCTCTAAAAAAAACTGTCCATTTTGGTTTTGGCCAAATGCATCCTGAATTTTTGGTTTCGATCCAAAATTTTCATTTCGGTCCACTACGGGATACAGCTTTCTTGTAATATATTTGTCACTTGCCATTCACCTATCCATTAAAGAATACTATGCAACACACATACCAGTAGTCTTGAATGTGAAGAGAGTTGCAGACAATGGACCCCTGTAAGAAATACACAAGAACATTACATAATTGTAAAAAAAAGTTAGTAAATAAGCTTAAAAGTTAAAAAATAATATACAAATGAAAAAAAAAAAAAAACACACACACACATAGAACTGTGGCCTTTGCATTAATGGAAGGCTGCCTCCAGTTACACCTGTACCCTATCTATGCCAGCCTTGCTGAGTAGAGAGGAAGAAGAACTTCTAAACCAGCAGGATAATACTGTAAGGAGTGGCATTAGTAAGTGCTGGCCTATGCATACTTAAAATGCAAATGTTATTACAGTGGCTCTACTGTAAAGTTGTTATAAACCTCAGACAGGAAAAATGAACAAAGCATATCCCTGTGTGTACTTGTCTCAATTAAGAGCACTATGTGCTATTTCCCTCTGCTACCTCGTTCCTCTGCTATCAACAAGAATCACTTCTGACAAGTTTTCCTGACACCAAGAGCAAAAAAAGTTACAGAGGAGGGACCTACAGCAGCACAGTCTGTGATTGACAGCCGCAGCTCTGTTCCTGTGCAAAGGGGGTATGTGTCCCTTCCCTCCAATCAGCTCTCAGATCTAACCTTACTGAGCTCTGCAGTGTGTAATTTTAGCTTTCCTCCCCGTTGTCAGAAAGTTCAGACAAGTGTTATAAATTCTGGACTAGATAAGAGAATACTGCAGATAAACAGGTACAACTTAAGTAGGAGGATTTTGTTTCATCTCTATCACCTGAGGCCAGTCACATTACTGGGTCCATGTAAGGATTTTTTATAAAAAAAAATGATTATATTTAAAAATATTTCAATATTTCGTGGTCGGTTGAGTGAATGAAAGTGTTGTAATTTGCAAATTAAGCACTTTTTTTTACTACCAAATTCTGTAAGGAATAATTCTCATTTCAATGGGCTACAGGCTGAAGAAATTATTAAGAGGGCCCACATACCCAAATGAAAATTAGGAGCCTAACACACATGCGCTATATACAGTCAATATGAGGACCTTTGACCTTCTGATTCTACAATTCTTAGTAATTCTATTCTTGCAGACCCGAGTCAGGTAGGTCAGGATGTGATGCTCCATTCTCACTTCTGTTATACATATCTGAGCTTAAAACATTGTAAAGAGCAAAGTGCTAAATCCAAAGTGCAGCCTATAGCACCCAAATAAAATTCATCTTGTATTGGTCTTGCCTTAAAGGCTAAGTTCACTTTTTGAAAAAAAAAAAATAATAATAAATGCACATCCTTTTGCAGGAAAAAATATGCATTTATTATTTTTTTCTAAGGAGCCTACAGAGCAGTGCACCTGCAATCAGCATATCACAGGTGTAGTCCCAGGCTCCTGCAGACTCTCAGAATAGCTGTCTGCCCATACCTGTGCAGGCAGGCAGTTGCTTGAAAGCAAGAAGATAGAATGAACTACGAGAGCGTTCACCAGCCCTCAGCCCTAATTGTAGGCTATTGAAACATGTGGTGGAACATGTAACATGGCCCAAAGGTGAACTCATCCTTTAATAATCTCTGCTTGGCTGCTATGGGTACCGCACTTGAGAACTTTGCACCTAGCACCTTTTACCGCCTATCCAGATCTGTACTTAGTCAGTAGTTTAGCCATATTTGTAACTGAACTTGCTCTGTAATGTTAAAGAGAACCTTCCAAATATCCTCAATGTTACAGAACATGTCCAGAGACATGTGACTGCTACTAGCAATAAAACATGATGGAAAAGCTAAGGACCCACATGAGCTTACAGGCTACCCTAACCTTAAGAGACTACTTGCTGGCAGGATACTGCATGTGTGTTCTGCCGATGCCTATCACTGTTAGTGAGATCTAAGTCAGAAGTAAACACAACATATTTCAATTATGGTGACCAGTACAGCACCTCAAATTTAAAAATGTTAACACGGGGTTCTAGGATCTCACATTTGTAGCAAAGGTAGGCCTTTTGTTGAGCTGCCTATATACAACATAAAGTATGTGGCTTTCGGCATGCCCCTACAATCTATAGAAAAGTGTGTTCATATCATTTGTGGAAGCAGCATGCCTACCAGAGTGTTTGGATCTGGTTTTAAGTCAGTTTTTTATATACTGTATTTTCTTCGGCCTCGTGATGTACAGTTAACTCACCATTTTCTTTAGTGACAGGTGCACTCTAAAGAATAAGTTCACCTTTTGGGAAAAAATAAATGCACATATTTTTGCAGGAAAAAAAAATGTGCATTTATTATTTTTTCCCTAAGGAGCCTGTAAAGCATTGAACCCATGATCAGTGGCTCAGGGGTGCAATGTCAGACTCCTGCAGACAAGCCCTGCAGCTTTCAGCCCATATACCTTCATTCTGGCTGTTTACAAGCTGCAGGGCTTGTGAATGAACTATGAGAGCGCTCATTAGCGACCGTGCAGTTCCTTCAGAACTACGAGCTGTCAGATGCAATGGCTGACGGTAGTTATAGTTCATGCATTTACAGGAAAATGTGCTGCTTTTGAATTGAGACAGTGGGTGCAGGGAGAAGATCCCTTTTCCGCTGCCACAATGGGGGGGAAATGGCTGCCGGAGCATGTTACATGTTCCAAACCAAATATGGGTGGAACATGTAACATGTTCCAAAAGGTGAACTTGTCCTTTAACAGTTTCTCAACCAATGTATGGGTACTCCGGTACAGGGAGAGAAGATGCTTGACGCACATTAGAAAGTACTTACACTTTAGATGTAATGTTGTTTGCCTGAGCAGTGTCATAATACGCAATACCATTACTAATGACAACACTGATTGGTCCTCCAAGTGCATTAGATACAACTCCAGCATGTATGCCCGCCATACACAGCAATGATGACTAAAAATATAAAAAAAAAAAACAAAGCAGAGGTACATTACAAAACAGAACATCAATTCTTTACAATCAATGGGCATTTACAACTAAATAGATCGTCAGTGGCTATACTCCAAATGTCATGATCCTTTTTCCACAATTCTCTCAAATAGCATAATAAGCCTTTGTCAACTTACGTAGCAACAGCCTGCCATGCTCAGATCAGCCTTTCAAAAATTGATGAATTGCAAAAACTTTTGTTTGGTCAAGAGAAACTAAATGCACAAGTTCACACAGAAATATGTGGGATGTCATTGCCGGCCTCTTTTTGAAAATCTCCAGCTTTAATACTACTGAGTCACTGACCAGGAAGAGTCAAGTAAGTGAATAAGTGCGGCAAGTGAGAAAAATCAAATTCCTCAACTCAGACTTGTTCCAGGCCAGTGACTCAAAAACATATTTAAGTCAAAACACAGCAGGACTGCAAGTAGCATTTTCAGATGGACAGGTGAGCAATGGAAGCCTACATATTTCTCCTATTATAGGTTTCTTTTAAAGGTGTTGGGCATGCAGAGCATAAAAATGTTCTGGGGTTAACATTCAAAAAAGAGATGTGTGTGTTTCTGTTTTTACAGCTCCCCATCCCCTGAACCACTGGGGTATATAGCGGACTATACTTCTAACATATTCACAGAGAAGTAAAGGGAAGGCTGTAAGAAGATGCTCCAGTCTATGGAAAGAATGGAGTCACATGGGATAGTGGCAGAATGCTACGAAAATGTATTCTGTGTATTGATCTTTTTCAAGTAAAAAAAAATGTGCATTTATTATTCTTTTTTTCTAAGAAGCTTGCAGAGAATTGCACCCACGCTCAGCAGATCGCAGATGCAATCTCAAGTTTTTGCAAACTTTCAGGACCTCGTATGGCTAGGCAGTTACTCGAGATCAGGAAAATCAATAAACTACGAGGCGGTCACCAGTGCTCTCATAGTTCGTTGAGAACTACAAGTAATCAGCTGCAATGGCTGATGGTACTTGTAATCTATTCACAGGAAACTGTGAATGAATGACGTGGCCATGTGGGTGGACCCCTGCATGGCCGCATTGTTTACTCATTGTGACAATGGGTGCGGGGAGAAGATCCCCCACCCACTGTTACAAGGAGGGGGGGATCGGGGATGCAGATGCTGGAACATGCAACATGTTCCGTCCTAAAAACGGGCAGAACATGCAACATGGTCCAAAGGTAAACCTATCCCTTAAGCCAGCAGTGTCACTCCTAGCACTATATTTAGGTTTTATATATACAGTCAGGTCCATAAATATTGGGACATCGACACAATTCTAACATTTTTGGCTCTATACACCACCACAATGGATTTGAAATGAAACGAACAAGATGTGCTTTAACTGCAGACTGTCAGCTTTAATTTGAGGGTATTTACATCCAAATCAGGTGAACGGTGTAGGAATTACAACAGTTTGCATATGTGCCTCCCACTTGTTAAGGGACGAAAGGTAATGTGACAGAAAAATAATCATAAATCAAACTTTCACTTTTTAATACTTGGTTGCAAATCCTTTGCAGTCAATTACAGCCTGAAGTCTGGAACGCATAGACATCACCAGACGCTGGGTTTCATCCCTGGTGATGCTCTGCCAGGCTTCTACTGCAACTGTCTTCAGTTTCCTGCTTGTTCTTGGGGCATTTTCCCTTCAGTTTTGTCTTCAGCAAGTGAAATGCATGCTCAATCGGATTCAGGTCAGGTGATTGACTTGGCCATTGCATAACATTCCACTTCTTTCCCTAAAAAAACTCTTTGGTTGCTTTTGCAGTATGCTTTGGGTCATTATCCATCTGCACTGTGAAGCGGCGTCCAATGAGTTCTGAAGCATTTGGCTGAATATGAGCAGATAATATTCCCGAAACACTTCAGAATTCATCCTGCTGCTTTTGTCAGTCACATCATCAACAAATACAAGAGAACCAGTTCCATTGGCAGCCATACATGCCCACGCCATGACACTGCCACCACCATGCTTTACTGATGAGGTGGTATACTTAGGATCATGAGCAGTTCCTTTCCTTCTCCATACTCTTCTCTTCCCATCACTCTGGTACAAGTTGATCTCGGTCTCATCTGTCCATAGGATGTTGTTCCAGAACTGTGAAGGCTTTTTTAGATGTCGTTTGGCAAACTCTAATCTCACCTTCTGTTTTTGAGGCTCACCAATGGTTTACATCTTGTGGTGAACCCTCTGTATTCACTCTGGTGAAGTCTTCTCTTGATTGTTGACTTTGACACACATACACCTACCTCCTGGAGAGTGTTCTTTATCTGGCCAACTGTTGTGAAGGGTATTTTCTTCACCAGGGAAAGAATTCTTCGGTCATCCACCACAGTTGTTTTCCGTGGTCTTCCGGGTCTTTTGGTGTTGCTGAGCTCATCGGTGCGTTCCTTCTTTTTAAGAATATTCCAAACAGTTGTTTTGGCCACGCCTAATGTTTTTGCTATCTCTCTGATGGGTTTGTTTTGTTTTTTCAGCCTAATGATGGCTTGCTTCACTGATAGTGACAGCTCTTTGGATCTCATCTTGAGAGTTGACAGCAACAGATTCCAAATGCAAATAGCACACTTGAAATGAACTCTGGACCTTTTATCTGCTCATTGTGATTGGGATAATGAAGGAATAAAACACACCTGGCCAGGGAACAGCTGAGAAGCCAATTGTCCCATTACTTTTGGTCCCTTAACAAGTGGGAGGCACATATGCAAACTGTTGTAATTCCTACACCCTTCACCTGATTTGGATGTAAATACCCTCAAATTAAAGCTGACAGTCTGCAGTTAAAGCACATCTTGTTCGTTTCATTTCAAATCCATTTGGTGGTGTACAGAGCCAAAAATGTTAGAATTGTGTCAATGTCCCAATATTTATGGACCTGACTGTATATTATAGCTTTGTATTGAACCTACCACGATTTAATCAAGGGAAACCTGAAGCGCTAGATAGTTGCCTAACTGCCTGTACAGGGCAGTCACCTTTGTCCACATAACAGGTTCCTTGATCTGCTGAGCACTTACCTCCTGAGTTGATGGACCAGTGAGCCTGACCACACACCTTCCAATCTTGTAAGCCTCACTAATGGCCCATTGCTGTAATGAGCAACCCCACTGGTAAACAGTGAGGCTTACAAGCTGTGGAAGGGCAGGGCCAGGCTCCCTGACCCATCAACCCCAGACCTCAGTGCATATCAGAGGACTTGAGTATTCCAGTATCCTGTGGGGCCAATGGAGACACAGTTTGGCATATGTACTGACAGTGTTGGCTTAGTCAAATATATATCCGGTCAGGTTTGCTTTAGTATACATATTTGTCAGCTCATTCCCTTGCACCCAGCATTTTGGCTGTATTCTATTTTAAGCTGCCACTGTACATCGAATGTTTGCAATCTCTGGTAATAGTGAAACTATAAAAAGTTAAAGAGATTCTTTAAGAATCACTTGATGGAAACATGTTTTTGCAATTAACCATGTGGGTAAAAAAACTGTTTTCCAGTATAAGAGAATGAAAAGCTACATTATACAGACTTCCCAGGAAAAAAACACCCATGAACTTTATGAACTTTTAAACTCTGATACTTGCAGCTCAACATTAAAAAGAAGAAAGCTCTGTAAACCCATCAGTTTAATTAATGTGAACTAACCGGCACACAGCCCTGATGAATGACTGTAAAATCCCCATATTGCTTGACAGGGAGACACATTATGTTTCCAATTAAAGAATGCCTCCGAGCAAAACGTAGTCCGAGCGCCATGAAAGCTTTCTAGGAAACACTGACTGTGCTGGTCATAAAGTGCCCTAAATTTTTTTGCAAGTCCAACTGTGACAGCATTCCACACTGCTTCTGGGTGGGACTACAGCCTTTTTCCAAATGATTTCATATTGCCAACTGGTAGTTGCCTTCTGCTTGTGCGTAATTCTATCACAACCTGGTGTCGGCCCCATTGTGTGCTGGGAATCTTAACACCAAAAGCACAGTGGCAACAAAAGTAGGGGATCTGAGAAATATCTCATCAGTACTGCAAACATATGCTTACAAGTACAGGCTGAGCCCAGCAGTCTCCAGTTGAATGTTTATGGTCTCTTTAAAAGGTCAATACAATCTGCTACTTTTGTTTCTGTCCTGGCTTAAAGTAAGAATCTCCTATGAGAAATATGGAAGGTGAAATTGTAGACCTGTCAAATTGCTAACTGCCCATTTGTCATGCTGACCTTCTGCTTTAACGCCTTGAGTAACTGATATGACAGGAGTATACAAGGAGACGTAAAAGGTGTGGATCACTTTATACTAATCAAACGTAAAAAAGGGTGCGGCAACAGAATACACAGCTGTACTACTACAACTACTTAGAATGTGTTTTAGATTATAACGAAAGGACCTCCAAAGAAAAACTGCAAAATATAAAAACACATAATACATACATCCCTATAGCCAAGAGGAATAGTCCCTGAGATTTCCCCAAAAGGTGTCAGACATCCAGCAGGGCAGTATTTTCTAAAAGATAAAAATGATGAGGAATAGACTTTATGGAACAAGTAATGGTAATGATAAAATTGTAAAAGTCAAGCTAAAATGCATGTTGTATGCTAGGGTACACGCTAAAGAAATTCAGTACAGCTCTCCAAAACAAACATTTTCCCATGTTGTGTCTCTTTAAAAATGCTGCAAGTACAGAACAATACCTGATGGTCCTGCCAGAAATGCAGCGAGTCGACTACATGATGCTTCTTCTGCACTGAAATCCCAAGTACTGTTGTCTCCTACTGGACTACATCAGCTCAGCCACCTACCCCCTTGCCTGCATTCTCAGCCAGGGGCAGACAACTCATGGGGCCCCCGGGCAATAGGGCATCATGGGGCCCGTGTCCTTGCCCACACTCAAAGCACACCCAAAAAAGCCTATAAAAAGGTACCAGGGGCATTTCATGGGGCCCCCTACTGACCCCAGACCCTCGGGCACTGCCCGAGAGCTCGAATGGTCAGTCTGCCCCTGTTCTCAGCACTCAATCCCCTCCCATACAAGCCATCTGCTGTTTCCCACCATTATTTCAGTGCAGCAGTGGTGTTGTGTTGTCAGCCAACAAGTTAGAAGCCGACTGCATTTTTTGGCAGGATCCTCAGGTATTTTACTCTATTTGCTGCATTTTTAAAAGAAACAAAACATGGTTAAATGGCACTGAATAGTGGCTTTGAAGTTTCTTTTAACTTTTTTAAACACACACTTTACATGTTGATTTTGCAGCACTGTAACATTTGTTCAGTTTCGCTAAAGTGGTTCTGAAGGCTGAAGTTTTTTTTTTTTTTTTTTTATCTTTATGCAATCTATGCATGAAGGCAAAATCTCCACTTATACGTACCTGAGTCTGTTCTCGATCACGTGATTGTGCACGATAGCAGCAGCTCCCATGGGTCTCTTCATACTCATAGGCTGGGACACAGCAGCGGGAGCCATTGGCTCTGGCTGCAATGCGAGTCACAGACAGGGAAGATGGAGTGGGAAGACAAGGGAAGATGGAGTGGGGGGTGGGACAGAGCCACACTCTGAGTGTCTTATAGACCCACAGATGCGGCTCTGGAGCGAGCACACACAAGTGCCCCCAGAGCAAGCAGGGGGGGGGGAGAGCCAGGAGCGCTTGTGGGGGACCCGAGAGGAGGAGGATCGGGGCTGCTCTGTGAAAAACCACTGCACAGAGAAGGTAAGTATAACATGTTTGTTATTTGAAACAAAAAATATCTGCACCTTTAGTATGACTTTAAGAACTCTTTCTTTTGAGCTTTTTCTACTGTTGTGCACACAAATATTTTAATAAATGCTCTGGCTTTCTCAAACCGCCTAAAAATATTGGCTTCCAAAATAGCTCATACAGTCCAGAAATACCAGCTGCAGAGTGTAATCAGGGCTGGGACATTATGTTGAAGGCTCCAGTAGAACAGGGAAGTTTGACATTTTTAAAAGCGTTTCCCTGCACTTCCTTCTCACATTTGAAAGTTGTCACCAAAACAAGTGACCCCATTGGAAATTTCCCCCTCTATTTCAGTTACATTGACTACCTAAATATGGGTGTAACATGAAACACTGTAGCAAATGTGGACTGAGCCTTTAAAGGATAAGTTCAACTTTGGCACATTACATGTTCCACCCTAAATACAGGTGCAACATATAACATGTTCCATCTCCTGCCTCCTCTCCCCCTGATGCCCCCTCTCTTTGACAGTGAGCAGGGGGTCTTTTCCTCGCAACCACTGTCACAATGTAAAAACAGTGGGGCCTTGTGGTCTCTGCCCACAGGGCTGCGTCATTCAATCCCAGAGTGAACTACAAATACCATCGTCTCCATGGCCGATGGCTTGTAGTTCTCAATGAACCATGATGGTGCTGGTGAGCGCACTCGTAGTTCATTGATTCTTCCTGCCATTCAGTAACTTTCTGCCCATAACGGGAGGTACAGGCAGACAGCTTACTGAGTGACTGCAGGAGTCTGGTACTGCAATGCCATACAGGCTACATTGAAATAAATAAATAAATGCACATTTTTGCACCTGCAAAAAGATGTGCATTTGTTAATTTTTTTTTGCAAAAGGTGAACTTAGTCTTTAAAGTGGTTGTAAAGGCTCAAGGATTTTGACCTTAATGCATGAAGGTAAAAAAAAAAAAAAAACCTGCTGTGTGCAGCCCCTCCCCCCAGCCCCCCTAATACTCACCTGAGCCCCATCGCTATCCAGTGCTGGGAACGAGAGCCTAGGCTCTACGGGGACTCTCCCTCCTCATTGGCTGAGACAGCAGCGGGAGTGCCACTAAACCAATGAAGAGAGAGAGGGGGTGGGGTCAATCTGCGGCTCTGTGTGTAAATGGACAGGCAGAGCAGTGGCTCGGGAGCAAGCCAGCTTGGGTGCCCCAATAGCAAGCTGCTTGCTCTGAGGGCACTCAGCAGGAGGCAGGGGCCAAGAGCGCTGGTAGGGGACCTGAGAAGAGGAGGATCAGGGGATGTTCTGCGAAAAACCACTGCAAAAAGCAGATATGACTTTTTTTTTTTTTTTTTTTTTTAACTGCCTTTAATATCACAATTTTGTCACATGTGTTACCTGTATTCAGGTTGTGAGAACCGACTTGCTTTGTCCAAGCATGTAATGAGATCTAGAACAAGAAAACACACAAAATAAAAACTCAGCACTCCAGTCAATAAGTAAAATATAGAGCTTAGAATTGAAGAAGGGGCACACAGACTTGCCTGGAAGTTTAGGAACAGCTGCAGGTGACAAGGGGAACCAATGTAACCTGCTACTGCTAGACAGAAATATTGGAGTCTAGTGAGAGTGACAATGCTGCTCTGTCATTTATAAAGTACAGTATATAAACATTGTCACCTTATGACAGCCAGTGTAATACTGGGAGGATCCTCAGAAGGAAAAAATAAAAAAAATAAAACCACATCTATGGACTGGTATGCCGCACTATATTAAAATGTTTGTTCTTGGGGTTAGCTACAATTTAAGCCAGGGGAGCACAACATCTAGGAAAGAAATATTTTCAGGAGGAGGTCAACAATGGCAGCCCAAGGATTTCTGTTGACATGCTGAAGTATGACAGGTATTTATAACTTCTTAAGAGATTACAGTATTCCCAGCCTGATTTTCCAACAATGCCGTCATTCGCTTTTCTCTCTAGAAGAACAGAGCCATCTCTATTCAGGCATCTTTCAGGGTCACTATCTACTTCTTTGACGAACAGATGACACAGTCATGTAAATTCTGGTGCATGTGCCATTCTTGGCAGTGTTCAGAAATGTCTGACACAGATCACCCTCTGCGGGAAACTTTCACATACAAAGTTACAATGTGCAGTCTGACTGATCATGGAGGAGAGGGGGCTGATGGCATCATCACCACCTAGGCAAAGTCACTTGTTGTCCACTTTAATTTTCGGTTTCCAATGGAGTGCAAATATTGTCCAGACACATCTTCAAGCTGCCTGCAAATTGTCTGTAAAGTCAATGCCATTTTTTTATGTTTTGCAGCAACTATTTGGATAATTTTTTTGGGCATTTTAGGATAAAAACAAAAGAATCACTGTACTTCTAAAACAATGTAAAATTATATAAACAGCTACACAGCCAGCACGTGTGACATGGAAGATTAGGATGGAGATTTTCGTTTAATCTCTGGAGCATGTACTGAAATCTTAATTTCATCTGATTACTCTAAATAAAAATGGAATCTCATGGGCATTGTGCAAACGTATCCACAGAGAGGAAATAAACAGAGCTGCGTTTCTTGGCACAGTAATAAAAGCAGAAATTTCCAATCTCCTCCCATAGCAAAGAAAAGACAGCAAAGGCTGCAGTGGAATCAGAAGCCACATGACAACTACAGCTAGGTTCAGCAAAGGCCATGTGAGGCTTAAATCCCAGAGGATGGGGCATACAGAACTTTCTTTAAAGCAATATTTATCCAGAAGAGCCTTCTCCTTTTAGGAAAAAGTGTGTTAGCATTCCTAAGGAGCATTTCCGGAAGTCTCCTTACTTGCACTAAGAACTCCCATGAAGCCAGATGGGAAGACGCAACACTGTTTACACAAGCGAAAAAAAAAAAATTGCTTGTTTTAAGTTAATAAAATGATTGAAATGTTTTGCAAAGCCAACGCCTAGCAAAATGCCTACTGCTGGGAGTCTGTCACTTTTTCGTTGATTTCGATCTAGCCTGCAACATTTGGTGTCATTGGTAAATTGCATCATTTTACAGCGATTGTAAAGCTACTTTTTGTTTTTCAAATAACCAACATGTCATACTCATCTGCTCTGTGCAACGGCTTTGCACAGAGCAGCTCCAATCCTCTTTCGGGGTCCACCCGCCAACAGTCTGGGCTACGTCTCTTTCCTGTGTGCCACCATTGGTACATGTGCTGGGGTCATCCTTAGCCGCACTCTGTGTCCATTGACACACAGTGCGGTTCGGACCCGCCCCCATTCCCTTGTCACCAGATTTGATTGACAATAGTTCCCACTGCTATCACGGAGTCCAGAGAGGGGGAGATAGAGCTCTGAATTGAGATCAGGCTCAGGTAAGTATTTGGGGGCTGGGGAGAAGCTGATCATAGAAGGTTTTTTTATCTTAATGTAGAGAATGCATTAACCTCCCTGGCAGTCTAACTAATCAATATTTTTGAATGTCAAAGTGGTACATTGTTTTGCAAGGAAAGTTGTTGTTTTATATTAGAGGCCTGTAATTCTTGGGAATAACTCACTTAAATCTGTCCAAACAAGAGTCTAGTAAACACCCTGGGTATGATAAACACACAAAATCATAAAATATAATAAATAATTATAAAAAATATAATAATAAATTTAATTCAATAATGTCAGTGTCTGATGATGAATATCCCCACGAATCACTATTGCTCAATTCTGTAAGTGATTCTAATTCACTATCGCTGTTTTCTAGCTGGTCTAAAACCACTTTTGACCTAAAAGGACGCTTTTTGGATGCTATGGACGTTCCCAAGTTTCCAGGCAGAAAGAACAGTAAAAGTGCAGGCAGGGCACTGGACAAATCAAAAGAAAAACAAAAAGAGGGCGCACCAGCCTAGTGCATTATTGTTTAAAATATTTATTAACAAAATAAAAAAGTAGGTATAATACTCACAATGGACATATAAAACACAGGCACATCACAATGAACAAAGGTGTTCAATCCATATAGCATCTGAGTCCACAGCGATGGAACCCAGGATGACCAACTTGCTGACACATTTTGAGGACTCAGCCTCTTCCTCAGAGTCCTTGAAATGCATCAGACAGTTGGTCATCCTGGGTTCCATCGCTGTGGACTCAGATGCTATATGGATTGAACACCTTTGTTCATTGTGATGTGCCTGTGTTTTATATGTCCATTGTGAGTATGATACCTACTTTTTTTATTCTTTCAATAAATATTTTAAATGATAATGCACTAGGCCGGTGCGTCCTCTTTTTGTTTTTCTTTTGCATTAAGTGACTTTGGACTACCCGGGGCCGTTGAGGGCAGCAAGCAGTGCATATTCCAGAACATTTACATTATCATCCTAGCCTCTGCTGAGTCCATCCCCAGCACAGGAGTAAAGTATTCACTGGACAAAGCACCAGGGACAAAATTTAGGTGAAATGGTTTGATACAGTAATGTAACTAACAGATTACAATGTATTGTGTGTATGTTATTTGTACTTTTTAAAATTTTCCGCCGGTACCGCCCCCTTGCGAACCGACACTAGCAGGGAATGGAATCCCGAAGACGGATTGCCGGCATTGGCCGGAGGACACAGCGGGAGGACATCACGGGATCTCAGGACAATGTAGGGATTGGGGGGAAAGCAGGATAAGCACTATGGAGTAATCCCGAGTGTGGCTAGGGGTTACCGTTTCTGGTATTGAAAATTAACCCCGAGCCACACTTAGGATTACCGGTAGGAAGGTTACGGTAAAAAAAAACAAACATTCAGCCTTTACAACCACTTTAAATCATATTAAAGTGATGGTAAACTCTCCTTTTTATGTTTTTACCTACAGGCAAGATTATAATAAAGCTTACCTGTAGGTAAAATTAATATTTCCAAACATGCACTGTTTAGAAGATAATCCTACAGAGCAGCATACGCTCTTAAGAAGCATACCCATGCCGTCCCCTCAGATTTGTGTGCCATGGCCGAAACTCCCAAGCGCATGCGCGGGAGTGATGTCACCGGTGGCTCAGCCATTCAAACAGCCACAGCCCATTAACCAGGAAGGAAGACCGGGTGAAGATGGAAGCCCTGTCAGTGGTGACAGTGCGCCTCTGGAAGGCTTCGTTCACAGAGAAGTCATTCATATTGTGCTAGTATGCGATGCATACTAACATATTATGACTTTACCTTGCAGTAGAAAACGTTTCTCCAACATGTTTACAGCCACTTTAATTTAAAGAAACTGACATTGACGGTGATACTAGTTTATTTTTACTATCTACATTCTTTGGCATTCTTTTTTTCAGTACAGCAGGACTGACAGCCTCTGCAGGGCTGTACACAAATAGATCACCTCCTGACAGCTCATGTCACCAGAGCAGAACAGGAGGAAGATTTTCCACACTGGGGAGCTCGAGTTAGCAACCCCTTACTTTTTCCATTTAAACTGCATGACAAGAGTATTGGTAGCCTTTGTAGTTGCCTTTAGCTGTAGCCCAACACTCAGTGGGCCACGCAACAGAAGCCACTAGGCCATGTGTTGGGCAACAGAATTCCCAAGGCATTTGCCATGCAGAGTGATGCATTCTCATAACTTCAAAACTTTGAATATCTCCAAAGCGGATCTAAAACGTGAATGCTATAGGCATCTCAGAGTTGTTTTAAACTAGTTTTACTCTCAAAGTACATGCCATTTTACAGGTAAAAGTGGTAATAAATCCAAAACCCAAAATGTAATGTATTGCAGCTTACCAATCATTAGATGTGGTGGCTGCATTAGCTTTCTCTTTCTTTTTTTTTTTTTTTTGTTTAGACTTTTCCCATCTATTTTCACCCACTGATCTGGCGAGTAACACACCTACTAAATTCGAGCACCCCCACTCTGGATGAAGGAGCACAGGGGCACCTTTGGACAGCAGCATTCTCAGTCTGGGGGGAAGGGAGTGTTAGATGTACTAGCAGATTTAAATACATTAATAAATGGAAGCCAAACGCCAGCTAATACTTTAAAACCAGTTACAACAAACAGTTTTCTTTCCTTTCGGGATAAAGATTTTACATAAAAGCTGATCATGGTACACATCCCGCTAGTGTTAAATGGTTTGTCTCACCTCTGTAACTGTTGCATTCTACTGGATAACGTGTATCTTTGAAAAACAAAACTTACAGGCTTGATCACCAGATGAATATAGAAGAAAGGAAGGCTAAAAATAAAACTAATGCAGTCAATGCATCTAAGAATTGGCAAGCTGCAATATAATAAATGTTTGTCTTTGGGTTTAATACCACTTTAAACAAAAAATTTTGAGGAACGCTCTGCTTGATGATGTAAATGACATTTGCTCAGTTTAAATTAAGTTCCCCTTAACATGCAGAAAATTTAGGTATTTGTGGTGCACCTCTGCTGTACAGCAAAAAGAATGTCATTCAGCCGACAAGTTGCACTGTTTTCCCCTCTGACTTGCCAAAAACAACAAATACCTGTTTTATCTGTGGTGGCGTAAGAAGCCAGGAAGCCTCGTCCGGAGATGTGGGTCCCACTCATGAACAGAACGGTGACTTCATGGCTCTTGGACTCAATAACGTCCTCTGGTCTCAATGCCAAGCCGCAATACTTAGTCCCTAGACAGAGAGGAGAAGACAAGAACACTTTAATACAAGGAAAACCAAGGACTTCAAAGCATGTTACTAATACTGTATGTGACAGAAGCAACCTACCACCATTACATTTATACTGAAATAAATAGAGGCAGCTATTGCTGACTTTCTGAAAAACTTTGACTGGCTGGCTGTCTTCTTCATTTTCAGTAGCTGACCCAGAACAGGCATGCAGCAAGTCAAAAGTCATGATCCTCTTACTTTTTATCAGAGAGTGATGTATTGAAGCTACTGGATCAGCATTATGGCTAGAGAGGAGGCTGCCACTGGCGATGAACAGCGCACTCTGAAAAAAGTCCTGATCACTTTTCAGAGGGCAGCAGAAACTGTCGCACACCTAAACTTAGACTTAAAGCGGAGCTCCACCCAAAAAGGGGAAGATCCACTTTAAGGACTGCTCACCATTAAGGATTGGCACCTTTGTGGGGGGGGGGGGTACCTGAATTTGACAGGTATCGCTCCCACTTCCAGTCCAATCACCTAGGCAATCGGAAGCGGAAGGTGTCCTCCCTCCTTCCCTGTAGTCTTTTGGGACACGTGACAGGTCCCAGAAGACAACAGGACCATTCATGAAGTGCATGCGCAGTGGGCACCCGGCTGTGAAGCAGCAAGCTGTCACAGCCGGGTGCCCACACTGAAGATGTCAGCCTCTGAATACAGGACGGCCGGTGAAACTGGCTGCGGGGGACACACCACGGGACCGAGGGACTGGTAAGTGGCTGTTTTTTAAAAGTCAGCAGCTACAGTTTTTGTAGCTGCTGACTTTTATTTTTTGACAGTGTGAGTGGAACTCCGCTTTAAAGCGCAATTTCACCCTCTCAGTCAACATTAGCTATTTTTAATCCTCATGCTGCTAGTATTGGTAAATAGATAGAAAAGTATATTTACTTGTTTAAAACTTTTTCAGTTACTTCCTGCCTTTCCATACCTAGGCAAATGATGTCAAGCATCCCAGGAGTCTTCAGGAGAGGTTTTGTCAGTTAAGCGTACTTTTCGGCCTGCATGCCTGAGCTAAGGGCAGATGGATTCCAGGAAGTAAATGATACATGAATCATTTGCCCTTACTCAAGATGGCCATGGTCAGAAATGCTAGAAGGATGTTTTTCAAAGTGATGTCTCAGCAAAATAAAGCAAGGAGACATGAGTGGATGGGGGAGTTTGCTTTGAATATCAAAAATAAATTAAAACAGCATTTTTGGTTAGTGGTGCTCAGATACACTGAAGTTCTGCTTTAAAAAACAACACAAGGTTCTATGAAAAAACACACAATTGCTTAGGACTTCCCAACATTAAAAAACCATATCCTCCACTAAAGTACTTACCTTTTTCCCAGCGCTGTTTCCCACAGAAACTCTGCTCTTCATCATGGCAAAATCCCCCGACTTGTTTGGAAAAAGCGACCCATTAATTTGAATGGAGATGACCTGCAAACACATGCAGTGGTGTTGTGGATTTTTAGGGATAACAGGTTGTGAAGAGGCAACAGAATGCCTCCTCACCACCTGTCAAACACCCTCTGAAAAGCAATAAACTTTTATATCATTATAATTTTATTTACTTTTTTAGATAAAACTCTTTTGGTGGGAATTGCTAAGCAGTGGGAATTTTTTTTTTTTTTTTTGCAAGAGAAAAGAAAAACTGTATTCCTTACTACCTGTTATAAAACATATTGAAGAAAATGCCAGGACATTAGGAACACCCTTAAATGACCCCTCTTATGGAAAGTAGACACCTCAAGGTGATCTTAATTTTGTCAATTTGTTGGAATTAAACAAACATGCTGGTATTGAGGGGTTAAAGCAGTTGTAGACCCTTACATACACCAAGTGAAGTGAAACACAGATATAAAAAAAATCCTCCTACATAAGTTGATCCTGTTTATCTACAGCCATCTCTTTCACTATATCCGTTCAAAGTCCAGAATTTATAGAGCTTGTCTGAGATAACAGAAAGCAGGGCTCAGTGAGGGGAGCTCAGAGATGAATGGAGGGAAGGGACTCCCCACCCCTTCACACAGCAACAGAGCTGAGGCTGTCAGTCACAGGCTGTGTGCTGGAGCTCCCATCCCCTCCTATCACCTTTTTTTTTTTTCTTGGTGTCAGGAAAACTTGTTAGAAGTGATTCATGCTGATAGAGGAACGAAGCAGCAGAGAGAAATGACACTTAGTGCTCCGGATTGAGACAAGTACACACTATGGACTTATATGCTTTCTATTTCATGTCCGAAGTTTTCAACAACTTTAACTACTTGCCTACTGAGCACTTTCTCCCCCTTCATGCCCTGACCAATTTTCAGATTTCAGCGCTCTCATACTTTGAATGACAATTGCGCGGTCATGCAACACTGTACCCAAAATAAATTTTTATAATTTTTTTTAGACAAATAGCTTTCTTTTGGTGGAATTTAATCACCACTGCGGTTTTTATTTTTTGCTAAACCAAGACTAAAATTTTTTAAAAAAATGTTTCTTAGTTTCTGTTATAAAGTTTTGTAAATAAGTAATTTTTCTCCTTCACTGATGGGCATTGATTCAACTGATGGGCACTGATGGGGCTACACTGATCATCAGGGCACTGATGATCAGTGTAGATGTCCCCCTGCGAAATGCCGCTTACCGGCTCTCCCCATGCGCTGTCAGCGTGGGGAGAAGACTGCTGATAACTGGCATTTCCTATTTACCCTGTGATCAGACATCATCAGCCATAAAAGGGTCTGTGATTGGCTTGCTCCTTAGTCATTTGATCAGCGGTGTCCGAAGGACACAGTGATCACAGATCACATGCGTGGTGTTGTAGCTGTCTTTTGGCTATAGCACGGTTGGAAACTGGTTAAAGTGTTACTAAACCCAGGACGCTGCATTCACTATATCTGGTCTCCCACAGTACACAGTGTGACGGAAGCGGCGTCAGACCCCCAGCCCTTCTCACCAACTCGTGACCGAAGGACTAGCCAATCTAAAACTGCACTGTCACGTGCGTAACAATACCACACTCAGCTGCACCCTGCACAAAGATTTTCCAGCTAATAGACCACAATCTATGTACCGCAGCCTGAGAGTGATTGTTACTGGGTCAGGTTAATTACACAATTAACCCTTCACACTGCCACCACCACCTATTAGTACAGAGTAGGAGGAAACTCGCCAATCTTAGCAGTAACATTGTGTTTGAATAGCATCTGTATACACACTGTCAACGCAGGCAGATGTATGCAGAAGTTTAAACACACAGTAGCACTCTTCAGAGACAGGGATTCTTAATTTGCATTAAAGAGCTTTAGAAACAGTTCAACACTTTTCAGAAAATAGGATTTATTACTAAAAAGGTAAAAATATTTACAGAAAAAGACGTAGCCAATATATATGTATAAATACAGAGAGCAATACCACAACAGAGAGATAACAGAAAGAAGTTTAGAGAGGTAGAATACTTTCCGTCAGCCTTGGTTTAAGCAGATCAAGGTCCTGAACAAAAGGGTACCGTTCTCCCAAGTTGGTTCCTGATGTTAAAAAGGGAGAATTCTTCATCTTATTTCTCTCAGGCCTGACAGCCTATTTTCTAGTCCACCAGCAGGGTTTCTCCTTAAAGCAGAGAACCAATCGCCTCATTTGGGAAGGGTGTTTAGGCGGGGAACTCTGCTATGACCAAATACCTCACCTGTTTATACCATGGTCAATAATCTTCTATAGGTACATGAAGCAGCCTATCCACTGGTAGGATAATATGCAGAATCATCTGCTGAACGTCTAGATATCAAATATGACATATCTACCTGTGACGGTTAAAGAGATATCACTTTCTGCTCTCAAGTAGATGTAATCTAGGGGTGTAAGCTATCAGGCGACTCACATTAAACTGAGATATCCGAATATATGCTTTGTTCAATTGTATGTATTCCCTATTTTAAGTTATCAAAACTGGTTTTTTAAATGAGATGTATGTTTTATGGCTATTCTGGAATGTGTTTCATGTCTAGTGAAGGACTGGTTTATAGCTTTACGATCATCTTCAGAGCAAGAGTGGGACAGACACCCTGGCATCAGCTAATTCGATTTACAACCATAAAGGATATCCAGCTGTGTCCTGTGCTCTCTTGAACCCAGCACACAAGACCACATGTGACTCAAAAGAAAGGGAGGGGGGCTGATTTTGGAGTGAGAATGACAATATGGGGGATCCTTAGCAACATGGACGTCCACGGCCATATCTGTGCCCACGATTGCCACACACAGAACATGGAAGTGCAATTATTTTAGTAAATATAAACTGCTAAATACCTTTTCAAATCAGAAGTTAGAACAGTCTTGTGACTTCTATCAGTGTTCAGCAGAGCACTGGTTACATCTTGTAGGAGTTTTCTTTCTACTCTAGGAAGATGCAAACCCCCTTATTCTGTCTGGGCAGTGCTGACTGGCCCTGTGTTGATCACATGCACTCAAAAAAAAAAAAAAAAAAACCCTCTCCAGCAACACACACTAAACTGAGCATGTACAGAGTGTCTCCACACGATATGTCTTATCAGGAGATAAGATGGGGACACTGGAAGAAGAGGAGGATTAGAGAAATCAGGATCAAACAGCATTTTTACACTATACAGAGGATTAACCCCTTAGGTTCCACAGTGAGCATAAACCTTAAACTGTCTCCCTGCTATGCACCGACTTTCTGCAAACGTAGGGTAAATGCTGTTATGTGATCTCCGCCTTAAACTGTCTCCCTGCAACGCAATGACTTTCTGCAAAACTCAGGATAATTAGTTCTATATCTTTTTGTCTGTTTGTGGTGATTGATTCTTACCTCCTTTGCCTTTCTGTGATCAGAGAATCAATCATCTTCTATGACTTTGACCTGTGTCTGTGAGTGGTTTGGCTTTGACCAACCTCCCCCAAATTCATATGATCCTTAGCAGTTCTTAACACAGCAGTTTAACTAAAGCAGGATAACTCAAGCAGCAGGAAGATACA